ATGAACTGGTTTCCTGCTCCTGCCATGCGAAGGAGCAATCCATTGCCCCAGAGCACGGTGCCTGGGCCGCCTCTGGCCAGACACTGTCAGTGTCTGCTGGAGTCTAGGAGGTAAGAACAGGCTGGTCACCCCGTGTGCCCAAGTCCTGTCCTGTTTCTTGGGGCCTCTGAGCCAAAGAAAAGGCCCCTGTCCTGGGGGAGTCGATAATTAGGCTGAGCTGCGTGGGGAGGTTCCCGGAAACCACTGTTCTCCTTGGAGCAGCTGAGGCAGTTGGAGTGTTTATTTGATTTTTGACTTGCTAAGCCTGTAATTTACCTGCTGGAGCACACGGAGTCCAGCTGCCTGAATCCTGAAATACTGTGTCATTAAAAGCAGGTCCTGGGCCCACCCCAACCCACAGACACAGCCCGCAGAGGGAGCACGACCCATGTGCCCAAGGACACGCATCCTGGAATTCACTGCACCCTGAAGACAGGCTCCCGGAGAGCAGGTCTAGAGCAGGGGTGGAGGCTGGGGCCATGCTGTGGGGCAGCAGCCCCCCACCAGGAGACAATGGGAGCAAGTGCAGAGGAAGAGACCCCCACCCCCACCCCCACCCCCGTTAGCCTGGGCTTTGTGCTCAGGCTGGCAGGGATTGGACTAGGCACCAGCTGGGATGTCAGGAGACCTGTATTCTGGTTCCAACTCAGCCACTGACCTGCTTGGTGTCTGGACAAGTCCCCTTCCTGATTCAGGCTTTAGTTTCTGATCCATGACATGAGGACATAGGACTCTTTATTCTGCAGAGGTCCTTCAAGCCAGAGAATCTGCCTTCCACCCCAACCCTTCTCAGAGCCAAGGGCCCAGCCGCTGTAGGACACGAAACCTGCCATGTCAGGACCTTATTTAACAGTTCTCTCCTCCCAATATCAAGGTCGTGGAGGCTTGGAAACATCTAACAGGGGCAATGTGTGGTCTTTCCAATGCCTACAGCACAGAACTTGGCATGGCTTGGGCTACCGGGAAGGTGTCTGAAATGAAAAGTTTAAGGATGCGGACTGCCTCACCCACCAGTGTGCAGACTGGGGACGTGAGGGCCATGACAGGATTTCCTCTTCATGCAGTGAAGCCATGGTGGCCATGGCCTTCCTGAGACTTCTAGCACCTTCAGTGGTCCAGGCAGCCACCACGGGAAACCCAACAGAAAAGGCCTCGGATAAGGGAGATTGGAAACGTAGAAGACAAGGTGGCAGTATTCAGCTACCAAGGCCATCTTGTTTAACTGGTTGCCCCTGGCAACCCAGGTTACATTCAAGGCTGCGCAGTAGAAGTATAAATAAGGGTGGTCAACTCAGGCCCACTGATGGCTAAGTCAATGCTGACAGGAAGGGAAGATGCAAAGGAATGGCCAAGTCTGGGGCCATTCAGTGTGGGGCAAACTACTCTGTCCACCTCACCGCCCCGCCAAGTGTTCATCTTCACAATCACACTCAGCACTGGCCTTGATGCCAGGTTATCAGGCAAAGCCCTATTC